GTCTTCACAACTCGGAGACAAATTGAAGGCGCTACCGAAGGCGCTAGGCGAACCGGAGCAAGGGTAAGATTTAAAGAATATGCTTTCATTCTGCTGTATAAGGAAATAGATACGTTAATAGACTAGGCAACGACTAGTCTATTGTTTATTGTTGATAGTTGATAGTTTATTTTTATGTCATGTTAAATTGTTGATTGTTCATTTTTATGTCATGTTAAATTGTGGATTGTTCATTTTTATGTTGTGTTCATTTGTTGATTGTTGATGTTGTTGTTGTTTATTTTATGTCTTTTCTATTTATAGAAAACTTATTTTTGTATTGCCTTTTGCACTGTGGGTCCAAGAGGACTGAAATGTCATTTGTGCTGTATGTCGTGCATGTATAGCACATCTGACAATAAAGCTGACTTGACTTGACTTGACTTGACTAGATACCGATCTTAACCGTGCATTTTGTTTTCACAGACTAACCTTTTTAACTGTGACTTACGTTTTTTTATTCATACCACTCTTATTTAATTGTTTTCCAGCTGTCTGTAAGACCTATTATGACACAGTATGCTGGAGCTTCAGGTACAAACAACCAGACCTTGCACCGCAGGCGGAAGCTGTGAATAGTTCAGCTTGGAGTCGATCGAGAAGAAAGAGGGTAAGACTTTTTTTGGTGGCTATTTTTCAGGTGCATTAAAAGATGTGTTGTGTCCATACGCAGTGCATCGCGGATTACTGATTATTGACCATAGACCTGATGTCTGATGAGGAAGACGGCATCGTTGGCGGGGTGTCTGGTTGGATTGTGCGACCTCCGTCCTTTCACAGCCAGGAGATCACCGAGCTCTGTGTCACGCTGCAGTCGAGATTAGAGGCAACTCCGAAGTACAGGGCAATGCACCACAGACGTCTGCAAAACGGGCCAAATTAAGACAGAATACCGCAGTTAACTACAGCTCAGAGGTGGCAACAGCCACTTCCCAGGGCTGTAGGATTTTGGGCTTCTCCTGAGCTTCCCATTTGTTGTGGGGGCAGATCTCGCTTTGTACATAGTTGTGTGTTTGTGCTAATAAAAAAAATTCTTTTGAATAAACATGTTCCTGGCAAATTTTCCTTTCCTTAATAAATTCATTCATGTCCTTGATGGTAATAATAGTGTAGTCCATAGGATAACAATGACATGAATATACAACATAATAGCATATACAGCATAATAGCATATCATATGAATATATATATATATATATATATATATATATATATTACTTTATTATACATTTATAATGACCCAGGGTGACCAATAGTGACAGATCTGCCAACCAATTACGGGTGATTTTTCTTGTTTAAAAGTAGTGGTTTCATCCAATACTGAGTAAGGAAATTCAAGCCAGGCCTGGTGCGGTTTTGCTGCTATTCATATGCTAATTAGAGCCATTACCACTCCGGGAGCTCTCCACATACGTCATGGTTCGTTTATGACAATATGTGGCACAGACAAACGCGACGTTTGCAGGCTGTAAATTGTCGTTAACTGCCGAAAATTAGGGAAATTTCCCTGGCGTTTACTGGAACACAAATCCCACTTTTCATGCAATGAGCCTCATGGGACTGATGATAAATGACCCCCCAGTTAAGATTCTGTCTTACTATTATATACTATATTATTATTATTATCATATAACCCTGAACAGGAGCAGGAGAGTGAATCTTTACAACAGCACAGCTCGTCGAACCTTCATTTCATCAAAGGTAATCTTTATCTTACAATTCAAACTTCTCCATTACAACAATCCACAGATAGTAGACAGTAGAAAACAGAGCAAGGGCTTTATTAACTTTGTCCTTTTAAAAGATAAAATCAGCATTAATTTATTGGCACATGGATTTACAGTGAAATATTTATGATTCAACTCATTCAAACTTTTTAGACAGAAGCTAAAAATATCAGATATTCTTCACTTCAGTCTTACAATCCGCATTATCACAAACAATCTTTACACAAATTTTTTAGACAGACAAACTGATATTTGATAAAAATGTTTCACTGTTTTATAACCTGGAGTGCACTTTTATTTTGACAGAGAGAAACAGCCGGAGAACAATACTTCAATGTGTCAACGATATAAAAGCTCAAAGTATGAAGGTTGAAGGCACATAAAGCATAAAGAATGGTTACTGGTCACCATGATTACCCCCAAATGTTTAAAGTAACTAATTTCTTCTCTTAACAGCATCAACTTAAACTTGAAAAAATGTCAAATATATATGCATGTTATTATTTAACAGCATCAGGACAGATTATTACCATAAACTTAATGTAAAACTTCCAATAAAAGCAGGGTCCCTAATAGATGCAGACCTTTAACCTTAGACTTCTTAAAACCCACCTGGTCGCCTGCTTGAGCTTGTTTTAAGTCGCTTCAATCTCCTACTTCTGTGAATATGTACATAATTCACATTGTTAGATCAGTTAGATTCTTCACAATTAAATTGTTTTTACAAAAACTATCAACACCAAAGTAAAACGATAATTCATTTGGTAACCTGGTAGACGAGAGAGAGGAAAAAAGACCTCTGAAGCGATTATAATCATCATGTTAGTTTTCAAATTTGCTGAACAAAACTCAAGAGAAGCAGCAGTTAGAGTTAAGTTTAGTTTTTTACTAAAGGAATTAAACGCCTGTCCCGAATAGAAGCCTGTCCCCAATAAAGGCAGGGGGAGTTCAGTGATTTAAGCAAATAAACGTCTAGGCTATTATTAGAAGTTTTACAGTACTCACCTACAGCTTCTAAAATGTTATAACAGACACTCCTACAGACAAACGCACTCAAACGACACAATCCACAACAGTGTTAAATGTTACCTCTGAGTCTCACAGTCTCAATTCACATTGAACTTTTTCTTTATTATAAACTGACGACCAGGATGGAAATTAAACTCTGGTGTTGTTGTCGTCAGTAATGTAAAGTATACTTTGATTTGTAGTAAATGGGCTAAATTCAGAAAAGGTGCCAATGTTGTCCTTTAATCTTAATTCTTTTATAGCCTTTCCTTCCCTTTATCCATTGTTTATCCAAGTATTTTTCATTGAATGTATTAAACTCTTTTGTAGACTCTTTCCAATCACTTTCCTGAATCTCCACCTGACTCTGGTCAAAACAAGCTCACCTAACTCTTTCATATTTCAAACCCTTGTAGTGCCCAGTTTAGGCTCACTACTCAAACTTCTGACTTGAATTCATCCCATTTTTAAATGTCTCATTAAGTGGCTCGGGCAGTTTTCAGTGTATTGAACTTCATTTTGCCCTTAACCCCTAAAGAGACAGTGGAGATGTTATTGAGCTGATACAAGTTCTTTGTTCTTATTGGGTCTTTTTACAATTCCCCTTTTTAGTTTCTATTAAGGCTGCACGATACGGGACGGCCATCATAAAGACATTATTTTCACAGATACTGCGACTGTGATGTGATGTCACATATTTTACCTTCATAACTTACCGCATCTTACCATATTGAGATTTTGATTTACTGTGCAGCTTGTTTCTATCCAATAAGAAATTTGGTTCTGCTATGAGTCTTGATGTATTCCAATGGAAAATCTGTTATCTGCAGACACTTCAGACTGTTTCCACTGCGTCAGTCTGCGCTTCAGTTCTTCAGGAGACCGCTGGCCTCAGGGAGACTTTTGTTGCTCCCATTGGCTGCAGGGATGAACAGAAGTGTTATTTTATACATACAGACACATACAGACACTAAAAACACAGAAGCCTACCTGCTCCTGCTTTCTCAGGTATTTTCTATGGTACATGCAATTACTGTGATGCAAAGCAGAAAGCAGTGAGGTTTGCATCCACATATTATATATATATATATATATATATATTAGGGCTGGGCAAGTAATTAACGCCGACAATTATTTTATCTTGCATTAACGCAGTTTTTTTTTACTATTATTATTTTGAAAGTCCTTTGCTCACTGACTCTGAATACACAGACCATCCCTGGGTCACAGGAGGAGAGGGGAGGGAGGCTTCAGCAGACTATGTTGGATGCAGCGTGTGTAAGAAGTATAGATAAACAAAAGCAAGACAAGCTAACAAATGCCATTCCCAAGTGGATAGCTTCAAACTGCAGGCCAATTAGTATTGTGGAAGATAGGATCGCAACAAATGACGGCAGCAGAACTACAGCACCTCCTAACTTCAGTGTCAGCTGTAATGATGTTTATGATGTTAAACACTTACCTTTGCAATCTCTTCATTGACTGTGACACAAACAAACAATATTAATATTAATATATGCTTTAAAAAAAAATTCAATTAGGACACGAGCAACTCCTATTGTATCTGAAGTAATTTTTATTCCAGATTATTACATTTTTGGAGACTGCAACTTGCTCAGAAACACATGAAATGGTGAAAATGTATCATTATCATCTATATTTCTCACGTGTGTTGTGTTGTGGCAAATTTTTACAAATGTATCTGTCACTATGAAACAGTTAGTTGCTGTAACTTGAGGGAAGGGAACTGATACTGAACCTGAAAGAAATACAGCTGAGCTTTGAGTTTTGAGATCTTTTACAAAGAAGTTCTGGGAGAAGTGTTATCTCTATTCGCTTCAATATCTCAACTTAATAGAAATAATATAATATAAAACAAAGACAAAATAAAGTACAGAAAATACAATCATCATCATTGTATTGATTAAACAGACAAAGAATAAAACATTTTCACCAAAAACAAATGTTAAATAAGTTTAAAATAAGTTTTGCACATTGTGGTAATTAAAATGATTTAAAGGTTCATCAAACTTTGTAGGACCAATCAATTAATTCTGGCTATCAAAATTATCAAAGAAAATAAAAAATAACAGTGATCAATATCCTTATACGTATTATATCAGAAATTCCTAAGGACACCACCCTTAAAGGAAAACTATTAATTGAAGAGTCAGACTCATAGAATATACAAAACAATTAATCTAAAACACTAATTTATTTGTTCAATAACTATAACTAAGTTCATCATGTTCACATTAAGTCAGCTGAAGGATTTGTAGCTCAACATAGAGTTTGGTATCCTTCACGTTTGTGGAATATTTAACAAACCAGAATGTATATTTGATAACATTTATTAAAAAAGATAAAGTATAAATAGACAATATGATCAAACTACAATGCACTAAACCAAATAACAAAAACAGAGTGTGTGTTGCACTGTATGTTGAGCTTGTTCAGCAGAGACAAAACAGAGTTTTAAGGTTCTCTCTGCTGTGTGTGGTTGTGTTAAAGGCCGAGGTGATGTTGATGTTGACTGTTTCTGTGTGCAACATAACATTTAACTAAGATCACCATAGCAGTGTAGAACATGAGTAACACAGTAACCTAACATAAACCATAACAAAATCACAACAATAAAACCAGATCAAAAAGTCTAGTTTCTAGTCTGTAATAGCTGAACAGGATTCTTAATTTCCTGCTGCTCTCTTGTGTGAGTTCTCATGTGTCTCTGCATAGTACTTTTAATACAGAAGCTTTAACTGCAGACTGCGCTGAATGTGTGAGTTGTCATGTGGTTCTCTAGAGTACTCTTTTTAATGAAGTTTGTTGGCATACTGAGAGGCTGAAAGGTTTCTCTCTTGTATGAATCTTCATGTGATCCTGCAGAGTATTCTTATGTCCAAAGCATTTATCGCACACTGAGCAGCTAAACGGTTTCTCGCCCGTGTGAGTTCTCATGTGTAACAGCAGATTAGTCTTTACACTGAAGCTTTTACTACACACTGAGCAGCTGAATGGTTTCTCACCTGTATGAGTCTTCATGTGATCCTGCAGAGTACTCTTTTGACTGAAGCTTTTATTGCACACTGAGCAGCTGAACGGTTTCTCACCAGTGTGAGTTCTCATGTGTAACTGCAGATTTGTCTTTACACTGAAGCTTTTACTACACACTGAGCAGCTGAATGGTTTCTCACCTGTGTGAGTTCTCATGTGTAACTGCAGAGTATTCTTATATCCAAAGCTTTTATCGCACACTGAGCAGCTGAATGGTTTCTCACCAGTATGACTTCTCACATGTGTCTGCAGAGCACTCTTATGACTGAAGCTTTTATCACACGCTGAGCAGCTGAAGGGTTTCTCACCTGTGTGAGTTCTCATGTGCAACTGCAGATTAGTCTTTCGACTGAAGCTTTTATCAGGTTGTGAAAGTTCATCTGGATCTGAGTTTCTGGCTGGTTCTGGTCCTCCACAGTCCCTCTCCATCATCTGTTTCCATCTGTTCAGTTAGTCTTTGAGGAAGCTGTGAGGACTGAGGTTTCTCTTCATCATCATCATCTTCACTCTTCACAGGGACAGAAGTGAATGTAAACTCTTGAAGTTGCTCTCCCTCCTGACTGGTCCTGACTTCCTCCTGTTCCTCTTTAATGTGTGGGGGCTCTGGGTCCTCCTGGTCCAGACTGGGTCTCCACTCCTGCTGCTGCTCAGGGGGAACCTCTTCTTTACACACCGATAGCTGCTGGACGTCTGAAGGACACAGTAAACACAAAGATAGACATTATGGAAAACCACCACTTTCTGTTAAATCCAGACTGGATAACTGTGGGATCATCATCAGGCTGAAGATGTCACTCAGTGGAAACACATTGGAACCAAGTTGAAGCCTGTTGACAAGGTCTCACAAGGATTAACAGCAGAAGACTTCCTGGAAAGTAAGCAATGATTAAAAGAATCAGAGTTTCTTCTGAACAAGGCAGAAGATTCTTTAACTTTTAACGGTGCGGATCCGCTGCCACAGCAAGAGAAAGTAGGAGGACAGTAAAGGGTCAGCATGCTGGTCGAAAGGATTCTGCCGATTTGTTGCCGTTTACCAATGTAGGAGTAGACTACTTCGGACTTATATATGGGAACATCACGAGAACTACGTTCTCTGAATGCTGGGCTACTTGTGGTTCCTATAGTCTCTAAAAGTAGAACAGGAGCCAGAGCCTTCAGTTACCAAGCTCCTCTCCTGTGGAACCAGCTTCAAGTTGTGGTTCGGGAGGCAGACACCCTCACCACATTCAAGAGTAGGCTTAAGACATTCCTCTTTGATAAAGCTTATAGTTAGGGCTGGATCAGGTGAGTCCTGAACCATCCCTTAGTTATGCTGCTATAGGCCTAGACTATCAGGGGATTTCCCATGGTGCACTGAGCTCCTCCCTTCCTCTCTCTTTCTGCACTCATTCATGTCCCATTAATGCATGTTACTAACTCCACTTCTTCCCCGGAGTTCTTGTGCTTTCTCGTCTCGCAGGTTCTCATCGATCCTGGTGGAGCCTCCTGCCATGGTCCTGCTTGACTGCCATTGCCAATACTGTTGTTGCTGTGCACCTGTCTGTCTGTCTGTCGCTCTCTCTCTCTCTCTGCCTCTCTCTCTCTCTCTCTCTCTCTCTCTCTCTCTCACCCCAACTGGTCGAGACAGATGACCACCCACCTAGAGCCGGAGGATCTGTCCTAGGTTTCTGCCTTTTAACAGGCAGTTTTTCCCTTGCCCTTGTCGCCAAGTGCTTGCTCATGGTGGTACTGTTGGGTCTCTGTAATTAGTGTTAAAGAGTTCGGTCTAGACCAGCTCTATTTGAAAAGTGTCCTGAGATAACTTCTGTTATGAATTGGCGCTATACAAATAAAATTGAATTGAATTGAATCACCCAAAGATTCTTCATTGGTGCTAAATCTGAAGTACTATTTTTAGTCCAACATATTTAAATAACTGCAGTCGAACAGTACATACGATATGATCTGCAGGGAATTGGAGCAGTGAATGTGGTACAGTGTTTTTCCATTTTTATTACTACTTTAACCTCCCCTCAGGGTATTTTTAGTGACATTTAAACATAATATTCCAAAGGTGTAAGCTACTGTACTGGACTGTACTGACTGAATAAATATTGAACAGTTAAATAGGCTAGAGACTGAAGCTTTGTGCCCGCAGATTCCATGGATTATTATTTAGTTTCAAGTGAATCAAAAGATAAAATAGTTGTGGGAGAGAAACAGGATTTGGGGGTAATAAAATAGATGTGCCCCTGGTCAAAGGGTTGAGTTTTATGATAGGAAGAGCCAGGGGGAAGGCACAGATGGAAGGACCATTTGGTGAGAGAGACCTGGAGTTACAGGAGTAACATTTGCAAGACACAGGGGGTTTTATTGTTTGTGATGTAATGAGATGTACTGGAATGTATATAAGGGAGAGCATTTTGGAAGTCGGGAGAGAACATCCACGACGTGACCTTCTCTCCATGCAGCATGAATTAAAGTGACTTGATTATCACACCGGCTTGAAAGTTCTTCAGAGACTTAGCACCTCTCACGTTTGGGAAGAATTTCCATGACATAGTTATTATTAATAATAACTATTATCAATCACAGCACACAGCTCGGATCGTGAATGTGCTTTATCGTTTCATGTTATGAAAATATCCAAGATGAGTCATCTAAGATGGCGCCATGTATGGTCGCCTCGGTTTGTTGGTGTGCTTTGTTATTGCTTGTTTTGTTTGTTAACTCAGTTTTTCGGCTGTGATACCCGGAGCTCTTTCACTATAGAAGAGCTCATGAATATCAGGGGAACAACTCAGGCTGATCTGTTTCCCAGTTTTCATCTTTCTTCAGTTGAAATATTGGACATCGTGGTCAAAGGTGCGCTCGTGCAATGAAATGCAGGAGGAGAGGAAAACGTGCCGGTGCGCTTGTTCGTCTCCGCCAGCGCGGACATCGCACACCATTAACTGGGGTATTTCTTCCCAACATGTGTTCACTGTGCAATAAAATGGACCAACTTAGATTACACCAAGTTGATGCTGCACTGGAAAAGATATGAGGCCATACACTAGACCAACACGAAAATCATCGCACTGGAGGCAAAGTGCACCGACTACAAGTCCGCCGCTGTGGACCTACGCCAAGGGCTCGCAGAGCTGGAAAAGAAACATCTAAATGAAGTGATGGAGCTGACAGACAAACTAGAGGATTATGAGAACAGACAGCGCCGTAAAAACTTCAGAATTGTGGGATTCCCACATGGAGTCCAGGGGGCTTTCGCTGTGGACTTTCTGGAGAAATGGCTATCGGAGATCCTAGGACTCTCCAGTGCGATAGAGGTGGAGAGAGCCCATCGCACACTACACCGAGCGAGCAGGGAGCACCGTTTTCCGATTACCTTTGATGAAATGAAGGTTTGATGAGCTGTGCTGTTGTAGAGATTAACTCTACTGCTCATGTTCAGGGTTATATAATAATAAAATAGTATATAATAGTTCACAGCAGCTTTCCTAACAAATATTGATTCATGTTGCAGCGTTTTTAGGGCTGCACAATTGATGGAAATATGTCTAATTGCAATTTGCAAATGACAGAAGCTGCAATGTTTTTGATGAAGTTAAAATTAAATGTGAAATTAAAATTTGTGACAAACAGCTTTATAATGAGGTACTGAAGTGTCTTCCCAACATCAAGACCAACGCATATGAGGCATTATGGGCATAACACGATTAAACAGACAAGCAAGGGAGACTTGAACCTTTCTGAAGTTTCAGTTAGTTTTGCACAGAAACAGCCAACAGGGGGCTCTGACCTCTGCGGAGGGGGGTCTCAGCTTTTTTTAACCAGTTTCTCCTTATAATGACAAACAGAATCTTAACTGGGGGGTCATTTATCATCAGTCCCATGAGGCTGGTCTTTGGTCACTGAGCTCTTTGCAGGGTTAGAGGTGTATTAAATGTGTAACACTGACAGCTAGTGTTTAAAAGAGAACTGCAATCTAAATTCAGAATATTGCAGCGTGATGTCTCCCCACGTCCTCCTCCTCTGCGGAGAAGCTCACAGTACCCAGGTTGAGGACACTGAACCTACAGCCTTAACATCTGTTATACAGAAGATCATTCCAGTTCGACTTTAACCTGATTTATGTTATTCATTCACAATAAAACTATATTTTTTATCTAATAACTGTTAGTAGAAGAAACATTTTTGTACAGTGGGTTCTTTCGATGATGCCAATTTTACCAATATGGGCCACACCCATTCATGCCCTAAAAACATTACACCAGTTTGGATATTTTATCTAATCTTAACCAAAATTCATACATAACATATTTAGATTAAGGAGAACAAGACTTGTAGGTCACTTATTGCTTGTCTGTAATTGGCTATCTTCCTTTTGAAGGTGTGTCATGATGCACTTAACATATAACAATCATATTTTAATGCTGAATTGAAGTGCAACCAAATTTGAGAATGTTGTCCATAAACCCAAACTGAACTTCATACAATTCCACTAACAATAGTTCCACAATAATTCTGAGTTTCAGCGGACAGGACAAATAAAGCACAGACGCAAGTGCTGCATACTATTTATTTGATTAATATAAAATACAGTTATTGGTTGCCTGTAATTGTTACTTTAGAAGGTGTAGCCAGTTGTACTTCACAGGCAAACAAATTTGGGATTTCTGTACATACAACCACATCGCACGTATGTGTAACATTTCATAAAATTCTACCTACAATATCTCCACCGTGGGGTCTTCAATAAAACCCCAACAGATTGCACACAGTATTCAATAACCACAGACTTTGGGTGCATTTTCAGATGTCAGATGAATCACAAACCCTTCTTTAAAAAAGCAGTTTTAAAGGTCCTCTCTGCTGTGTTTGGTTGTGTTAAAGGCCGAGGTGATCTTATATGAACAGTGGCAAGTTAAAGAGTTAGTTATTCAAAGACTGTTTCTGTGTGGAACACAACATTTAACTAAGATCACCATAGCAGTGTAGAACATGAGTAACACAGTAACCTAACATAAACCAGAACAAAATCACAACAATAAAACTAGATCAATACATTACATTTACAAAAGTTAAGCAGTCCAGTACTTAATGAACACAGTTAAACTGTGCACAGCTATGTATGCCCACTATGTTCAGTGGTGTAGTGGTTCCTGGAGAAATGGCTAAACTCTTGCGGAGTTGTTGGCCAGTGATCCCGTAAGCCAGGCAGGGGAAAGTTGTTTTCCATTGTCACATTGTTGTCGGGCTCTACGACGTAGGGTGTTAGAGTGGTCTAACTGTATTGGTTTAATCAATTAATGGTTATCAAAAATTATAATTATCAAAAGATAATAGAAAATTACCTTAAAATTCCCTTAAATAAGGGAATGATAACCAATAACCGATTGATCAGTCTCATAAAAATTACTCTAAACTATTAATTCAGAAATCAGATTAATAATTAAATTAATAATTGCAACCAAAATCATTAATAATAGCTAGAGTGGGAGCTTTGGAGTTCTACATAGAAGAGGTTGGTATCACTTGTATGAAATTAAATAGGCCAGCATATGTAAACACAAACATTTATTAACCAGATATAATAAAACCAACTGAGGAAAAATACACAATATACAATCTAACTTAAAGGGGAAAAGGAGAGAGAGAGAGAGAGAGAGAGAGAGAGAGAGAGAGAGAGTGTGTGAGTGTGTGTGTGTGTGCGTGTGTGCGCAGGGGGTCATGAAATGTCCTCTGACCAGATGTTTCAGGGCGTGAAACTGTCTCTGCAGTGCGATGTCCACTGGTGCAGGTATCGCAGGAAAAAACAGGCTTTTGTGCCATGCTATAATTTTTTGTCGTGCGTCGTCGTGCATCAGGCCGCACCAAGGTCCAAATTTATCACCCAGGGTCGGTGTGTGAGCAGGAAAAAGCGAAGAGAGAGAGAGAGAGAGAGAGAGAGAGAGAGAGAGTGAGAGAGAGAAAAGAGAGAGAGAGAGAGAGAGAGAGAGAGAGAGAGAGAGAGAGAGAGAGCATCTCTCTGGCTTAAATAGCCGTGATGACAGGTCTGGTTTCAGAGGGATCTTGACCAATGAAAGGCTGTTGTTTGGCCGTTTATTGCCTTTATGACACACCCTGGCCGCATTCCGGGACCCCCCCAACAGAGTTATCTGTATCACAGGTCTGTTATCTAGCGGGCATGTTCTCTTTGCAAATGGGAAATGGACCGATACTTGTATAGCGCCTTTCTAGTCTTCCGACCACTCAAAGCGCCTTTACACTACATGCACCGTGATGGCAAAGTCTATCAAACAGAAAGTAACTCATTCAAACACATTTACACAGAGATGCTGTGCATCAGGAGCAATTTGGGGTTCAGTATCTTGCTCAAGGATACTTTGACACATGGCAGGAGCAGCCGGGGATCGAACCGACAACCTTCCGATTTGGGGACTACCCGCTCTGCTTGAGCCACAGCTCTCATCATCTCAGTCAGTTCTCATGCGTCTCTGCATAGTACTTTTAATTCAGAAGCTTTAACTGCAGACTGAGCTGGATGTGTGAGTTGTCATGTGGTCCGCTAGAGTACTCTTTTTAATGAAGTTTTGTTGGCATATTGAGCAGCTGAAAGGTTTCTTATCTGTATGACTTCTCATGTGCAAATGCAGATTACTCTTATATCCAAAGCTTTTATCACACACTGAGCAGCTGAATGGTTTCTCACCTGTGTGAGTTATCATGTGTAACTGCAGACTATGCTTATATCCAAAGCTTTTATCGCACAGTGAGCAGCTGAATGGTTTCTCACCAGTATGACTTTTCATATGTATATGCAGATGACCCTTTTGAATGAACCTTTTATCACACACTGAGCAGCTGAACGGTTTCTCACCCGTGTGAGTTCTCATGTGTAACTGCAGACTATGCTTATATCCAAAGCTTTTATCACACAATGGGCAGCTGAACGGTTTCTCACCTGTATGAGTCTTCATGTGACCCTGCAGATGACTCTTTAGACTGAAGCTTTTATCACACACTGAGCAGCTGAACGGTTTCTCACCTGTATGAGTCTTCATGTGACCCTGCAGATGCTTCTTTAAACCGAAGCTTTTATCACACACTGAGCAGCTGAACGGTTTCTCACCTGTATGAGTCTTCATGTGACCCTGCAGATGACTCTTTTGACTGAAGCATTTATCACACACTGAGCAGCTGAACGGTTTCTTATCTGTATGAGTTCTCATGTGCAACTGCAGATTAGACTTATGTCCAAAGCTTTTAGCACACACTGTGCAGCTGAATGGTTTCTCACCTGTGTGAGTTCTCATGTGTAACTGCAGACAATGCTTATATCCAAAGCTTTTATCACACACTGAGCAGCTGAAAGGTTTCGTACCTGTATGAGTAAACATGTGACCCTGCAGATGACTCTTTTGACTGAAGCTTTTATCACACACCGAGCAGCTGAATGGTTTAACTCCTGTGTGAGTTCTCATGTGCAACTGCAGAATACTCTTTTTTCCATAGCGTTTATGACACACTAAGCAGCTAAACGGTTTCTCACCTGTGTGAATTTTCATGTGTATACGTAAATATCTGCTCCATGAAAAACATTTCTTACAAACTGAACAGCTGAAAGGCTTTATATTGGTAACATCACCTGACTGAGGTTCGCTGGTGTCTTTAAAATCATTGTTGCGATGATCAGTCTCAGATTCAGAAGACTCTTCAGTCTTACCATCCGTATCAGGTTGTGAATGTTCATCTGGATCTGAGTTTCTGGCTGGTTCTGGTCCTCCACAGTCCTCTCCATCATCTGTTTCCATCTGTTCAGTTAGTCTTTGAGGAAGCTGTGAGGACTGAGGTTTCTCTTCATCATCATCATCTTCACTCTTCACAGGGACAGAAGTGAATGTAAACTCTTGAAGTTGCTCTCCCTCCTGACTGGTCCTGACTTCCTTCTGACTGGTCCTGACTTCCTTCCGACTGGTCCTGACTTCCTTCCGACTGGTCCTGACTTCCTTCCGACTGGTCCTGACTTCCTTCCGACTGGTCCTGACTTCCTCCTGACTGGTCCTGACTTCCTCCTGACTAGTCCTGACTTCCTCCTGTTCCTCTTTAATGTGTGGGGGCTCTGGGTCCTCCTGGTCCAGACTGGGTCTCCACTCCTGCTGCTGCTCAGGGGGAACCTCTTCTTTACACACCGATAGCTGCTGGACGTCCTGCAGGACACAGTAAACACAAAGATAGACATTATGGAAAACCACCACTTTCTGTTAAAATCCAGACTGGATAACTGTGGGATCATCATCAGGCTGAAGATGTCACTCAGTGGAAACACATTGGAACCAAGTTGAAATCTGTTGACAAGGTCTCACAAGGATTATAAGCAGACTTTCCTGGAAAGTAAGCAACGATTAAAAGGATCAGAATTTCTTATGAACAAGGCAGAAGATTCTTTAACCTTTAACGGTGCGGTCTGCTGCCACAGCAAGGGAAAGTTGGTCAAGTAAAGGGTCAACATGCCGGTCGAAAGGATTCTGCCAGATTTGTTCCCGTTTATCGATGTAGGAGTGGACTACTCCGGACAAATAAATGGGAACATCACCCAA